AGTTAGAACAAAGTGGAATTCCCCTCTGTGGCTTGCATGTTTGTGTGTCCCCACAGCTTCCACATCTGTAATGAGCATTCTTTCCTGCCAGCCTGGTTCTGCAGCCGCTGTGTCCCAAATGAACACACGGATGCTGTATTAATTATGAAACTGTTGACCGGTGACTTGGGCTTCTCCTTGGCTAGCTATATCTTAATTATTAACCCATTTCTATTAATATAAGTATTTCCACATGGACTTCTCTTACTGGAGAAGGGTCCGGACCTCTTACCCCATTTGTGGTCTCACATGGTGTCTGCTAACCATCTCCATAGAGAAAAGAGCGATTTCCTGTTTGTCCCTGCTTATATCGTGATTCTGCCCAGCTACGTCACTTCCTGTCTGTCTGTACAAACTTCCAGACCTCTATGGTTAGCTAGTGGCATGTTTCTGCCCAGCTATGTCACTTCCTGACTGGTCAATCAGCCAATCAGTGTTTTATTCATTAACCAATCAGAGAAACATATATACAGAAGAACATCCCCCATCACGCATTTTTCCAGTACCGTAGTCACACCAGACTCTTATCAGTCCTCAAATGTGCCGCCCTTGTTTCCATTCAGAGTTTTTGCATGGGTCTCCAAGCTGCTTACAGTGTTAGGTCTCTGCCCCCGTTAGGGTTCTACTGCTGCGAAGAGACACCATGACCACAGCAACTCTCCTAAAGGAAAAACATTTAATCGGGGTGGCTTACAGTTCAGAGGTTTACTCAGTTATTGTCGTGGCAGGAAGCAGGGTGGCATGCAGGCAGACCTGGTGCTGGAGAGGTAGCTGAGAGATCTGCCTCTGGATCCACAGACTGCAGAATGCGACTGTGACACACTGACCAGACTTGAGCATCTGAAACCCCAAAGCCCACCCACTAGTGATGATGCCCTTCCTCCAACAAAGCCACACCTACTCCAACAAGGTCACATCTCCTAATAGTACCACTCCCTGTGGGCCCAGGGGAGGTATTTTTATTCAAACCACAGCAGCCTCCATATTCAAATGCTATCTCCTTAGGGAGAGAACTTACCCCCCCCCACTACACACATTTCCAATTTTCTCCAGACCACTCCCTGCCACTAGCCTGGTTTCTCTGTTCTCTGCACCTTTCCATGTCCCCATCTTTCCCTCTCCATTTTCTCTTGATTGCTTTAAAACGTAGACTTTCAGTGTAGCCCAACAGGTCTCAAGCTGGCTGAGGCTCCCAGGACTGAGGTCACAGGAGTGTGCCCGCCATCATGCCAGCTTCGTCTCTATGCCATATAAAACTGCACTTACATTATATTTACTTGTTTTTTTTCTTCTCCTCCAGAATGCGATTCACTTAAAACAGAATGTTTACTCATTTCTGCATCTCAAGCACATAGTGAGAACCCGATGACATTGTAGAAGACATCATGCATAAGAGCTAAAGACGCTGATGTTTTCTCTGATAGCGCGTATTAGAGCATTTTCGTAAAAAAAAAAATACACTGCCTCACGGACCACATGCATTTGCTTGTGTTCTTGTTCATCTTTTAATCAGGAAAATCCATCTGGATCCAGAGTCTCAGGACACGACAATGACGTAAGAGGGTGCTTATCGTGTTCTGTTTCCCTTAATTCTGTGCTCTTCCACTCTCAGAGCCGTAGCTGGCTGCTAGGGTTTATACCGGACCAGTCTAATCAATCCTCCAGGCTGCTTCCTACCCAGGCCCAAGCATCTGGTAGCTATGCTAGTGCGTGCTTCACAGAGAACACGCCTCACATTTCAAAAATCACCAGACTCCCCATTCTCCTTCCTGTTGTATTTCTTTGGCTGCGCTTTTGCCATTTTTATTGTTTGCAATGCTTCTTACTGCTTGATGCATTTAGAAGAGAGGTAAATGGAAAGGTCGTTTGAGGGGAGGGGCTGGTTAGAGCTCTGCCTAACTCTAAGGTGGCAGCACACAATGGGGGGTACCCTGACTCTTATTTCTTAGCTGTTTATGCTTCAGGGATTAGGGTGAAGGAATGAGGTTCCCCTTCACCAGGTGCTAAATTTCGTGAACCTTGAGTTTACTCTGGCCAGTCTGTTTCTGCTTTGCTTGCTTAAATCGGCTCCGACTTTATTGCAATTAGTGTCCATTTGTGCCTGACCCTGGCCCAGGACAGGATTCTCAGCTGCCCTGTGAGTTTGTATATTTTCTGGATGGTTTTCTTCAAGGCTGCAGTAGAGTTTTAAAGACTGGCCTGAAATTTTCACTGCTATTTTCTATACATATGTAGAAGCTTTTACAATGAGAAAATTTGAAGTTTGCTTTTTAAATGCTACCAATTAGAGGTAATTTTATTAAAATTACCTATTAAAATAGATACTGAATTTATTACTATCAGATTGTGGCCCCCAGCATTTTATTATTTGAAAAAAATGTTTTAAAACTCTCACAATCAAAATTATATTTTTTCTTCTATAGCACTGGGGCAAAGGTCTGATCATGTAGTATATAATTTAATTTTTTATGACTCCAAGCAATCTTTCCTGTCATAACTGCTAATGTAAGTGGCAGTTGCTATCTGGAGAGTGGAAGCTTGTAAGAGACACAAAGAAATGCAGTTATGAAATGACCTCAGTCCTTGTAGAAGAATTCAGAGATACAAAATGATGGCTACCTTGATGTAGTTACTCCTGAATGAAGTAAAAGAAAATGTTAGTTAAAGCACGTTTTGTATTTTAGCCTATGGCAACCTTTCTGGAACAATGGTCCTGGGCCATGAGGCTGTGACAGAGCACACCCTGACTTCTCTGGGTTGACACCGCTTTCTCAGTCAGAAGACTCCGCTATTGCAACATGCTCTTTTATTTCTTTGTTTTTGTTTTGTTTTGAATTCCCCCTTAGAAACAATCCATTTGGGTTCATTATATGACCGTTTATTAGTCTGGGGCATTATCCTTGCTTGTGACTACAATGAAGTCATACTAGGCTGGGTCAGCTATAAGTCACCGGGAGATCTCTCAGCTGCTCAGGGAGCAGGCAGTGCACGGGTCTCACTGATATTTTAGGTCCAGACTGTCCCCCAAGATGATGATGCATTTTCATGTTAGGAAGATTGATTCAGCTTTGGTTTTCTGACAGCTTGCCATGCATCGGTACTAATATGCCGAACTTCTAAGAATGTTATTGAGTTTCATGCTGCCAGGGAGAGTTCCCACATGCTAAGTGTATGAGTCTAGTACACGGCACTACTAAGTGTCCACATCAGAAGCGTGACAGCCCTACAAAAATCTCCTTCCATTCTGACACTCCTTGACGAAGGGAATCACTTTCCCATCTTGTTCAGCCTTATGCTTTATGTGGATGGAATTATACACAGTCTATTATTTTTTTTAATCTGGCTTCTTTAACTCTTCATGCTGCTCAGCATATATTGCATTCACTGTTGTGTGGTGCTCCAATCATGAATGCAATTCATTTATTCATTCTACTTTTAACAGATATTTGGATATTTCCCCTTTCAGAGGACCTGGCTATTAATACTGTTATGAAAACTATCATAGTTGAAGCACGCGCGTGTGCTCACACACACACACACACACACACACACACACACACACACACACACTGGATACACTGTACAACTAGGAGTAAGATTTCTGGGTCATAGTCTGTATTTATGTTCACAGTCCATAGGTCAGATGGTCCTCCAGGGTGGTTGTATGTACCAACCCCCACACCAGCAATGCTGGAGAATTTAGTTGTGCAGCCTTCTAACCACTTTTTGACATGTTTTTATTTTAGCTATCTGGTAGCTAAAGGTTTAATGTGGGTCAGTTTTTTATATCTTTGATGATAACGATCCTGGGTACTATTTTTCTATAGCTATTGGTAATTTGTTTATCTTTTTTTAAGTATGTCAGGTGTCTGTATGGGTATTTTGCCTGCTTTTCTGTCAGCTGACTGTTTGCTGTTGTTTTATGGGAATTCTTTATACAATTCATGTATACAAGTCCTTTATTGTATTATAGATGGATTTTCCCCCTGTAAGATACCTTTTCACTCTCTTAAAGGTTCCTTGGATGAGGAGATATTCTTAACTCTTGCAAAGTCTAACTTACTATTTTTATGGTTAATGATTTTTTGCAACTATTAGGAAACCATTTCCCACTCTAAGTTGACAAAGCTGTTTTCTCTAAAGGTGTTGCCCAGCTCTGTAATCCATCTGATCCATGTTTGCATATTATATGATGCATAGGGACCAGGATATCTTTTACATCAATACTTTACTGACATAGCACCATTTCATTTGGTTTTCAGATTGCTGGAGACGTGTGCATACATATTAATTCACTAATATCTAGGTATGCGACATGGTGGTCTAGCACTTCTCTGGCACTCATGAGGCCTTGGATTCTATCAACAGCAATGCAAGGAAAGGTTTATTTTAGTTCTAGTGAAATCAGTTTCATGCTTTTGAAAGAGAATTACTGATATTCCTTTAAATAACATTTAAATTTACGGTGGTTAAACTTTTAATTTCCAAATCTCTCTTAAATGTTCTACTCAATTAGACCTAGGTTTTAAGTCTTATTTATTCAACACCGAAGTAATTTATGACTTAAAGAACACAATCATTTTTTAAAATAAATTATTGTTCCAATGTTTACAGTTGAGTTTAGTTTGATAAGTTTATTGAGTATCAAGATCTTGAATCAATAACCAGTTGAGAATATGGTTGAAGTTTTGAGCTCCTTTTTAATGTAATTTTGACTTTAAGCTATAATATGAAAATTTTAAAAAACCATTCAGCAATGAACAAATGCCATTAGTAGTCAATATTATATCATTGATAGAGATAAGGGAAGGGCTTTTACCACTCTTTAGGATGAATTTGGAATTGTACCAATGCTGTTGTACCGTTATAAAACTTTTGATCTTCACGTTTGAAATACTTGGATGTCTTCTTTGATGTCGTTTTGCTTAGTGTTGTTTTCCTCTTTTTATTATTTATTATAGGTTGTACTGGTCAGTGGCCATCTGGACAGCTGGGATGTTGGGCAGGGCGCCATGGATGACGGTGGTGGAGCCTTCATATCATGGGAAGCACTGTCACTCGTTAAAGATCTTGGTAAATATTTATAAAGCCTTTAACCAAGACGTAAGGGTCTCAGTAGTGACTCGTTAACTCTATAGAAACTCCATAATGGATTCATTCTCATGGTGTGTGCAAAGTTGCTCCTGCAGTTTACATGTTTCTCAGTTTACTGCCAGGATAGACATATTCAGAAGTTTTCTGAATTCAAGCGTACTCCAGACATCTAAAGTACCAAATGTTATTGTCATCCGCTGAGGAAGATGAGTAAGCAAATAAAACCAGAACAAATGTGACCACAACAGTTAGAGACTGTGTGAGACCACAGCCAAAAGCAGAGAATTAACTGCCCCCCACTTCCTTATCTTCCCCTCTTAAAATAGCATCAGGCTGTGAGATCAGTGGGAAAAAGTCAGTCATTTTTCTATAGAAATCATAGAGTGTGTTAGTGGGGAAAGAATGATTCCTGTAGCCATGGTAGGAACCCAGTTTGAGAAATTGGACCTAGATATGGCTGAGAAGAGCAGTCATTGAAAGGCATGGCTTATAGCCTAAGTAGCTTCTTTAGCTGACCGTATATGCAAATAAAGTATGTGTGGTCCCTTTTGATATACTGGCCGAAAGAGTGGATATGGAGTGTGGTTAGAAACAGTAGAAAAGTCTGAATCAGGAGTTCCTTGTCTAAACTATAGACAGTGGTGGTTTTGAAAGGCTTCATCAGCAGAATGTTCTGGATGGTAGCTGAAGAAAAAGTTCTGGTTCAGATGGCATAGAGGTAAAAAATATTCATTGGTTATCTAAGCACATATTATAATTGTATTTTTCTTTTGGGTAGCCAGCTCACGAATAATGACATGCAGACTTGCTATTAATTATGAAAGCTTGGCCTCAGCTTAGGCTTGTCCCACTCACTTTTATAACGTAAATTAACCCATATTTTTATTAATCTACATTCTATCATGAGGCACTCGTTACCCACTTTCCATCTTGGGCCTTCTGTTTATTTTCCTTGTCTCCTGGTGTCTCCCTCATACCTAGATTCCTTCTCCTCCTTTCTCTCCCCAGAAATCCCATCTGTAACTCCTGCCTAGCCACTGGCTGCTCAACTTTTTATTACGCCAATCACAGCAATACACCTTCCTACAGTGTGCAAATATCCCACAACATTTCCCCCTTTTGTCTAAATAAAAAGGAAAGGTTTTTAACTCTAACACAGCAGAACTATATACAATAAGAACAATTATCCAGTGAGAATTACATTTACAATGTTTAGTTCATATGTATTTGGCAATTTGGAGAAAATGCTCTATCGTCTATCTTACCTCAACCAACCCGCAAATAACAATACTGAGATTTATTATAAGTTATGAAAGCTAGGCTTTACCTTAATCTTGTCTCACTAGCTCTTAAAGCTTAAATTAATCCATTTATATTAATCTATGTTTTGCCTTGTGGCTTTTTACCTTTCTTTCATTCTGTACATCTGATCCCCTCCCCCATATCATTGGCATCTCTTCTGCACCTCAGTTATCTCCTCCTACTTCCTCTCTCTGCCCAGAAGTCCCACCTACACCTCCTGCCCAGATATTGGATGTTCAGCTCTTTATTAAACCAATCACAACAATATATCTTCACATAGTCTACAAATATCCTACAACAACATATGTCTCTCAACTCATGATTTCCTGTAATTTTTTATAGGAAATCTACTCTAGGAAATTCTAGTCTTCTACAAAGGTGAATTAAAAATTACTTACCTGGGATACAGTTCAGTTGGTAGAATGTCTGCTAACATGCATGGAGCCATTGGTTCAGTCCCCAACAATTCGTAAAAATTGATATGTTGGTGAATGCCTGCCATTGTAGTAATCAGGAGGAGGATGCAAGCAGACCAAGAATTCAAGGTCAACCTCAGGTACATAGTGAGTTCAAGGCCAGCCTGGGCTACATGAGACTCTATCTCAAAAAGGAGATATTGCTGACCTTCCTAACAGCAGATTGTTGAAATAACCTTATTCTAAGCAAATCTTTGATGCATTATTTTAATGTATATCTTACCTGTGTTTTAAAATGTAGAAATAACAAACTGTTTGTGTGATTTTGTTGTTGTTTTTTATTTTTGAGACAGGTTTTTTTCTGTGTAGCTTTGTAGACCAGGCTGGCCATGAACTCACAGAGATCTGCCCGCCTCTGCCTCTACCTCTTGAGTGCTGGGATTAAAGGCATGTGCCTTGTGTGGTATTTTTATGTACTTCTCAATCTTGGCACTAGTGACATTTTCAGATTATGGCGAGAGATTTCATAACACCCCGGACTCTACCCACCAGCTGCCACTAACATTCACCACCATTTCCCAAAATTTTAACAGTAAAAATGTCTTATATATTGTCAAATGTCCTTGGGATGGAGAGTAAGAACAATTGCCCTGGTTTGAAGGACACATAAATAAACTAATACAGTATCTCTAGGTAAATTAACATGGTATCTTTTGAAAACAATAATGAAACAAACAATTGGAAATCTTGAATTGCACATTCTTAACAGTCCATCATCATCATTACCATGCATGATGGAAAAGATGGATTGAGCAGCTGCCAGGCTTTCTGTCATGCCCTGTGTAGATGTCAGGCACACAGAGGGATTTAAGGTGTGCTGCCTGTTCAAAGAGCCTTAGCCCAGAGCTGGAGACCTCCACATTAGCCCACAGGCATTGTTGTAAGCACAGAAAGAGTTTTGGTGCCTACTTTTACAACTGGGTGAGGTTCAAGAGAGAAATTGCTCAGCAAATAAAACCCAAATGCACACCTTTAGAGAAGGTCTAGATTTTTATGTGGAGTCCTTCCTGCTTCCCGTCCCTTGGTGGTTTCTCCCTTTCCCTCTCAATCATTCCGGAACAAAATGGCTTCTAGGGGAAAATATGCAGAAATAAAACATTTGTCCTTATGGAGCACAGATGTTTATTCTGAAAATTAACTTTATTTCAATGTGTTTCACCAATTTGATGGAAATGGACTAGTGGGATAAAAAGAGAAACTAGTTCATCTGAATTGGGTTTAGGTCACTCTGTTCTACAGACTTCTTTCCTGGCCTTGGCAGATCATTGGAACACTCTGAACTTCCTTATTCTCCTCTCTACTCAATTATAATCTTCCAGAGTATTTTATTTGCTCTAGATTGAAACAAAAATTGGGTATTCTCTACATATTGAATCTCTGTGCTCTGGTCTCAGCATGGAATTCTAAATCACTGCTAATTGATTTCAATTAAATTTCATGGATAAATGTCAAACAACATGCAGAGGCGAATGGAGTAGCTGCAGTCCTATCTGAAAACACTGGGTTCAGTTTTTGTTGTTGTTATTTGGGTTTTTTTTGTTTCTTTCTTTGTTTTGTTTTGTTTTGTTTTTGTTTTTGGTAGCAACTGATTTGTCTTTTAAATTCAGAGCCTTAGTCTCAGTAAGATTTCTGAAAATTCATATGAGCATATAACTTAAATTCCAAAATAAAGAGTAGCATTTCTTTTGAATATGCGTTGTGAGGCAGCATTGACACACTGTTAAACACACAGGACACAGAGCTGGGCATGGTGATAAACACCTTTAATTCTAGCATTTACAAGAGGCAGAGGCAGGTGGATATCTTAATTAGAGATTATCCTAGTCTACAGAGCAAGATCAACAGAAAACCCTGTCTTCAATCAATCATCAATCAATCAATAAAGCCCACATGACACTGGAGCTCAACTACCTTTATTGTTCATACCTCAGATCAGCAAATTCCTAGTTATCTAACCTTAACCTTTGGCTCTTTGTGCCTTAGTTTCCCCATCTGGGAAACAAGGATAATAAGAGTTCCTATTTCTCATGCTTGTTTTGAAAATTAAATGAGTCGTTAACCTAATCTATTTACAACAGGGCCTGACCCAACCCAAGTTCTCCATAAATGTTATATGCTATGACTTAATAAGCATGAGTCTGAAAAACAACTTTAAGTACAAGAGAAGATGGTGCTTTTTTAACCTGTAGCCCCTTCAGTGACTACTCTGCCTTCTTAATATTTTTGGTTATAATAGTGCAATTCTAGAGCCAGCTGCCATAGGATCACTAAAATTTCAGCCACCAGTGTCTGTATGATGGAAGCCTAATGCTTCCTTTATACTTTCCATTTTTACATGAAACTTACTATGTCTTAGACGTCTTCTGATCACTTCCGGTACTGATGCTTTGCAGAATGAATACTCGCTGTAAAATTTACAAATTGATTTTTAATTCCTGTTGGTAGATTATTTATGTATTTTAACAGGAAGGTCTGGATCCAGTGTGTGACTTACTAGGTCTGGATGAGCACCAGTAATTCAGGATGAGCTTGGTGGGTGAGAATGGCGTTCAGTAAGAGAGCATAAGCCTAGCATCTCTGAGATCCCAGGTTTGATCCTCAGTACTACCAAAAAGAAAGGAAAAGAAGCAGTAGTAATCCGAGACTCCCCCCACCCATGGGTTCATAATTATATTACTTAGTTACATTGAGGCTAAATACTTTAATTGGCGAATTATGAAAGCTCTGTGGAAATCTTTTTCCAAGAAAAATGACACTCCTTTTGGATGCTGTCCCTTGGATGGGATGTCAGGCAGCTTGAATGTTGGAGTCCCTCGGTGCCTCGTTAATGTGAAGTGTTGGTCCAGTGGGGCTCTCTGGTATTTGAGAACCTTTTTCTAAGACTTAGCCTTTCTACTGTCTTCCCCTTTGTCTTCCTACTTTACAACTCTTACAGATTAACCCTTTTGCCCAACCCATCAGCTTAAATTATATTCAATTAATCTAGTAAGACATTTGTGTTTTGTAAATATAATCAATCATTCCTAAGTAACCGTCAGCAGCAATTTGCTGTGAAGTGCTATTGAATCTTGTGTGTGTGTGTGTGTGTGTGTGTGTGTGTGTGTGTGTGTGTGTGTGTATGTGTGTGTGTGTGGTTTACTGGATGTGAAGCTGTTTATTTGAGATGTCATTTCCTGGAACATTCTGGTGTCAGTGGACAAA